TCGTGACACGACCATCGGAGTTCAGGGCAGAGAAGTTTGTGAGAGCACTACCCTTTGATTTTGGCCAAATATGAAAACAGATGCCTGCAGCCTCTTTTGAAATAAAGTACGTCGTTAGCTTTCCTATAAGAAGGCAATGGAGAAATCCATATACTCACTTTGAGAACTCTGTGGAAACGTTGTAACAAATTTGGAACAATTTTGAATTAATGCAAGTACTGTGGCGTTGAAGGCAATGAACTGGCTAATTTACTAGCGAACTGCGGGTCTTTGGAGCATTCAAGCATAGCGGCAACTGCCAGGTACATCTGGGATCTCATGAACAACCGTTGGAAATAACCAAGTGTTTTCTGAAATGGGCAGACCAGGTGGTTACAAAACTCCTTCTCAGACAGAGAAGAAGTGAGTTGATAGTCATCATAGCTAACAACGACGGCTCATTCCAGCAGGTTAAGGTCATTCCATTTACTCCGAGTGAATTTCAACCAAAGTCCATTTCGATTAAAATTTAATTTGGTTGAAATTAACTAGGAAGTAAATTGCAGACCCTACCTGATTTGTACAATTTGCTTGAAGGTTAAGAGAGGATAAGAGACCCCTTGGTTGTCCTGCATTCGCCTTACAAAGGGCAACTATGCCTGAGTGCTTGGAAAATCGCGTAAGATTTTTACAGCCAACACAATTCCATTCCAAAGCGTGCTGCATCGTTTCTTTATTGCGTTGGAGTCTCTAAATTTGTCTTTAATTTTGTATCATTATTACATTTTTGCTCTTTATGTATGTGGCTAAATACAAACATAGTTATTTATGTCTGCCTCCATTTCTCATAATCGCTATATTATTTCCTTTAAAATATAATTTCACTTTTTTTTTATAAGTATGTACTTAATAGCCAAAATGTCGTATGACCGCTTTATTGCTGTTTATTTAGTTTTAAAGTCATTAAGCCATATAGTAAATATGTACATACATACATATGTACATATTTGCATGTATGGAAATAGTTATCGTAATATAAACGACGCTAAATATATTTATAGCTTTAAGTTGCTTTACTTAAATCTATTCGCAAGTAAAATAGTTATGTTAGATACATACATATATGACACTACAGCCGATAAATTACGGGTATAGTGGACTTTGACAGTCAACTCAGCGGGTACGGCAAATGAAGAGATCAGTGACTAGGGGTTAGTTAGCAGCTGAGTGCTTATATACTAAGTATGTATTTGCAATAAGTGTGCTCTGTTTGCATATATGTATGTATGTATGTATGTTTGCATGTGGTCAAATGGAGCAATCAGACACACAATACTTAAGGCAATGAAATTTGAACGGTTTACTCGGCGTGAGTGCGTTTGCTTAAGGAAAAAAATTTAGCTGATGTTTAGAAGTATACAAAAATACATATGTACATACATTCATACATGTGTATGTGTACATCAGGCCCAGCCGCAAGAGGGGTTTTGGGGATTTACTTGAACCCCGCCTGTTGGATGGAAATCCTACATAAAAATTTGCCATCATTTAGTTTAAGATAATAATGATAAAAAATATTTCAAGATCTCAACAATTTTCATTGAGTTTGAGGCCGTTTCTAATGGTTCATATGCCAGTGACCGCAGTGAAGAAGTTTTATGAGGAGATGTACAGGGCTATCACAGAATCCATCGTAGCTTCGATTTTCGTGAAATCTACGAAAGTGCTATCACAGAATCCGAATGGCTACGAACGTCAATTCGAAATTCGTAGAGAGCCTTCATTGAATCCGTTCGTAAATAAGATTCGTACAGATACTCTACGACGAGATTATGCTGTCGGAACAAAATTTAAAATCACTCAATCTTAAAAATAGTGGAAGAAAGCTGCATTATTTTTAATATTAAATATTTATTGTACTCCAAATTTGTTATAGTTTGATATAATTCCATATATTTGTGTAAACGTAGACGTAAAATACCAATGCTATACATACATACATATGTACATACACGAATTCACCTGCTAGACGCTATTTAATGAATTAATATCTTGCATTAATCATAGGAAATAAACCTAATTACTTTAATATCATAAAAATTTATTAAAAAAAAAAAAAACTTCTATTTAAAATAATAAAATCTAAGCTAAAAATAAACTAAAAAAAAAATATTTATTAAAAAAATAAACAAAAACTAAATAAAAAAAGAAAAAAATCTCCAAAATCTAGTACTTTGCATACTCGGCCATTGCGCCTGATTGGCCATCGTGAGCAAAATGACATACATAAATGTCTGTTGTTTCCTTTGCACTAACTGATTTCGAATCAGCATTCGAAGCTGGCAACGATATTTTCGAGTTCACTCGGATTCAGTGATAGCTATTTTTTCGTATTTGTAGCGGGCATTTGAATTCGTAGATTTTCTACGATGGATTCCGTGATAGCCCTGGTAATGATAGTAGCTATAAATTCTACCTATATACATATGTGTAAATTATTGTTGTTTTTCCACAAAATTTTTTCTTTAGAAACGGCCTAAAGCTCAATAAAAATACTCGTTAAAGGGCCTCTGTAGCTCGGTGAATTGCATGTGACTTTACTTTGCGTTGTGCTGAAATATATCCACAATTAAATGCAATATGCTAAATACTCTAAATAAAACAATGATATTCTCGGTTCTTGCGAATGACGTTACATAAAATCCCCCTAAAGAGAAATCCTGCGGCCGGCCCTGGTGTAAATATATGGGTACCTACTTGACCAATGAGAAAAAAATCACAGCACTTTCATCGTGATGGGGCACTACCGCTGTAATTTTTAGTTTTCAGCATGGCAAAGGTATCTTGAACTTAGCTAAAATTTAAATAAATAGGCTAAAAGACATATGAGAAGACTAGTTTTAAAATTTTAATTTTTTTATATAGAGCTTATTTACGTCACAACTTCTAAAAATAAGTATGTTTCATATGTATATTCGAATAGTTTCAGATTACGCCGATAAAACGAATGAATCGGGAAGAAATCATCAACTATACATAGAGTCAATTCAGTTTGAGGCATACATCAAGATAACCAACCGTTCAGCTATAGAAAAACTAAAAATGCAGATTGCTAGTACTTTTTACGCTGATTTTAACTATATAAATATTATTGCCGCAATTAGAAAGTAAAGTAGATATAAAAGGTAAAACAAAAAAAAATTGTATATTTTAAAATATTAATATTTTCTAAACTGCGTAACCGATTCAAAAGGTGTCAAAATAAAGACAATTAATTTATCTTCAAGCTGATATATAAAATGTTTATGCTTTTTTATATATTTAAGCCAAAAATATAAAACAAAAAAAAAATTCACAATTTTTTCATAAAATAATCATTTTTTAGAAAAAGTCCATTATCAATGCTTAAAAAATTTATATTATTTAGAAAGTGCAAGTCTTTACCTTTAATTTTATATACATATTATATTATGATTTGCTTTTAATTTTTCAGAATTCAGTGATAATAAAAAATATAAATGCATGTACAGTTGTCCACAAAATAATAGGAGTGCGATATCTTCACCAGTTTTCGCCATTTGTCTTTTATTTATTTAATATTTATTACTTTTTTATAAAAGTTTAGCTGGCAATGCAACAAGCACCACATAAATTCAGATTTCAGATTTTGTACTAAAATTATAAAAATTTCGCAAATTTTCACCCAAATTTAAAACTATTTAATCAGAATCTTTAGAAAAAATTGTGGTTTGCAGTTTTGTAGCCCATTTAATTTTAGTATAATCAAGTGCCAATTTCAAGTTGCTAAAAAATCCCGTTGATCTTAATTAAAATTAAGATTCGGATTCAAAATAAAATAAGATTGAAATAATTTGTATGACTAAGAACACGATTAAGACTAAGATCAGGATTAATACGACTAAAATTAAGATTCTGATTAAGATTAAAATACAGCTTTAAGATTAAGATAAAAATAAAGTTCAGTATTAATACTAATATTAAGATTATGATTATGATTAAAATTCAAAATGAGAATGAGATTGAGATTAAACTAGTTTAAGTTTAAGACTAAGATTAAGATCCAAGATTGAGATTGAGACTGTGATTGAGATTGAGTTAATAACTGTTCATTGTTATGCAGAAAAATTCTCTTATAATGTGGGATCCACACAAACAACTTTTATTTTATAAAAATAAATAAAGTTTATTCTCTAACAAAAACCGTATAAATACAAGTTTCAAACCTTGTCCCATATTAAAAAAAAAATAACAAAACTTTCTTAAAAGTTTCAAGCGTGTGCGTTCACACAAAAAGCTGGGTCGAGCTCAAACAAACGAAAGTCCTAGTTACCTCAAACTTACACTTTATACACTAAAATTGATTGGGCTAACAAACTGCATATCAAAAAAATTTGAAATTTGTTCGAAAAATTGATTTTGTTTTTCTAATATTGCGCAAAGTTTGAAACGGTATACGGATTTTGTTAAAAAATAAACCATATTAAAGAAATAACAAAAATAGAAAAAGAAATCGTCCAAACTTAGTAAATTTGGGGCCCTTTATGTATGCATGTATGTATTTATCTCGCTGAGAAATTTCTAATCTAATTTCTAATTTTTTAATCTAGTTAGTTAAAAATAAAAGTGATGAAGAAAACACAGTTTTTTTGCGATTTTTAGGGCAAGGTGTGAGAACAATTTTTTTCGAGAAAAATTGCGCGCCACATAAGCTGTCACAAATTTCCAAATTTTTTTTGCGACCAAACCTAATGTGAACACGCTGTTGAATTCCTTAAACACTGATTACGTGGATTTGTATAAAATAAATCTAATT